AGCAGGAATTGCATTTATGATTTTGATTCAGGGCAAGATGAAAGTTATATTTTTGTTTAGCTATAGCAAAATACCTCTTTAACACCAGACTCCACAGGCTTTTAAATACTTTTGTTTGGAACCAGAAAAGGTTTGCCAGCACCCTATCTATCTGCACTACACATACTTGGAATTAAGTCAAATTAAAATGACTTTGTGTCTATATGCATGAAATTGACTGTACAATGTTAATCCCTGAATCTATTTGTTAAACAGCAAAACCAAAACCACAGCCATATTTAACGCATAGGCTAAATTCCCATCAACTTCAACTGCAAGATTTTGAGCTACAATTTTTCATCTTTGGTTTATAAATAAAATACAGCAACAGCCTTTTTCATCAGACACCATTAATCATCTCATATTCCTAATTTACATGAGGTAATACCTTCAATAGGTGAAGATAGTTGAAAATAACCTGGGATAACTAAATGATTAATGATTTCATAATTCTTAAATAATCAGCTGATTTCTGTTACAGGGATTTAAACGCAATGGTAAAGCAATTTCTCTTCGTTGCCTTTACACACCATGAACACAGTAAAGAACAAAGATCTCTCAGACCTTTTTTTATCCCTAAAAGGTTAAGTTCCTAATATCTATATTTTAAACAACCTTTCTTCCCAGAAATCTCAGGTCATGAAATTCTTAAAGCCTACTCTTAGCTTTCCCCTAAGTATCAATGTGGTGAGGGATGGAAGGCATATCAAGTTTTGAACTAGAGAAGAACTGCAGCTAAGTTTCAGCCTTAGATCAAATCAGTATTCTGAGGATCTTGCCGAAACCCTTCAGCAAATAAGATGACTATAAACTTGTAAGTTATTTTTTAGGAGCTTAGAATGACATATTAAATCCCACTAAGGGATAAAAAGATTTTTTCTTTTCTTACAAAGGATTACACAATTAATTAACTAAAAGAATGGGAACGTGATATTAAGTTTGAACGTATCAGGTACTCTGGCCTTTTGTGGATATTTTGTGATACTTTTGCTGCCATGGCTCAGCTTCCAAATTCCATGTTCTCCACCTCCATGGCATCTGCCACTTCCTCCCACTCCCATGAAGATGAAGCACTATGATTTTGTCATCTCCTATATGACATTACAGGTCTTCATTTCATCCCTATGACCAAGCCTTGAGCAACACTGTCTCCCTTTTTGAAACATGCAGGTATTTG